AATCGTAATGATTCTCATTGACAATATTATTATTCTGTGGTTAAAGAATCATTGTGACTAAACAAAGTAATTTTTTTTATGAAAAATAAAGCATACCTTTGCTTCCTCTGGAGTAATCCTGTGGATGGTAAATCTGCCCTTGACATCATAGATAAGACGGAACAGTTCATTTGTTTTTTCAATAGAAACAACATCTGAAATTTAAAATAATAATATTTAACAATATTATAACCTCTAAACCTACATGGTGATTTGTTAAAATGAGCCCAAACTCGACAGGGTTTTTTCACTATCAATAGAACAGGTGAAATTAAATAAAAGCTTGTAAAATATTTTATAATATGATTAAAATATTAAGATTTAATCTATATACAAAGCTTGCCCAAAAAGTAGTGTTAAGCTTAGATTAATAAAACCTAGATAGATAGTCAGTGCACGAAAGGTGAGGCAGATTTTAGTAAGCCAGAATGGCTTACTCGTAAACGTCACATGAACTGTCAAAGTGAAAAATTGGTAAACACGTCCGACGACTTTTAATTAATTAAGACGGTTTGTGCTGTGAAAGGGTGTCTAAATACATCAGAAAAACTAAAGAAAGTGACCAGTGTTACATTTCATAAGTAAGTACTACGATTCGACGCGTATTTTGCTTGAATTTGGCTTTCAAAAATTAAATACGGGAATGATACCAGTAACAAGAAAATTTATTTCCCAATTGTTCGCCGTACAAATACACTTCCTTTTTTATGAAATCGAGACTTTTCAGTCGATTTATCTTATTGTAATTAGGTAGGTACTTTGAATTCAATAAATAAATAAGTACATGATGCGTTTTGTTTTTGTTAGTTATAAAATAATTAAAAACGTATTAAAAATTTCCCTACTTTCGGGAAAATCGCCTTCACTGTCTACACTCCCCAACAAAATTGACACTAATGACATAAGATTTTTGCCTCACTCTTGACGAAGCGTTTGTATGAAGACTATCCATCTAGGTTTTATTAATCTAAGGTGTTAAGTTAAAGCCTAGATGTAGAGCATCACCATGTATGTACTGCGATTTTTGAGTTTTCCAGTTATGATTGTTTTAGATTTCTGTGCTTAGGTACTTTTTTGGTCACTGTGGTGCGAATAGTTAAGGTACATGACTGTTTTTTTATTATTATAAGATGAATACTAAACGCTCACCCATAAAGCCCGCAGGGTACGTCGGGTCTGTCCGCACTTTGCCGTCCACTTTGATGAGGCGCTGCTTGACGATCTTGAGCACCTCGTTACCGGTGAGCGCGTACTTGAGGCGGTTGCGCAGGAAGATGACCAGCGGCAGGCACTCGCGCAGCTTGTGCGGGCCCGTGGACGGCCGCGGCGCGTACACGCCGCCCAGCTTGTCCAACATCCATGCTTTGGGAGCGTTCAAACGCTTCAAATGCTTCTTAGGTCCTCGAGCCTGCAGGCAAACATCATAGAGCCGGGCTTAACCTCAAACTTTAAGATAAATATTTTCCGTGATTGATCTATGCGGTCACTGAGAAGCATGGCTTTTGATAGTAAAATTAAAATAAATAAATAAATGCTACAAACTAAGTATAAAACGGGACATCAACAAATAGATCACTCGCCCGCGAACTGTTTTTAATCAAGATCAAATATGTTACGGACGAAAATTAACTAGAACTCGAATTATAACAAGCACTAACTTTACGAATATGGACCAAATGTTTAAAAAAGTTAATTTGACTCTCAGATTTTAATGGATTTCAAGGCAAATATTCGCGAAACTCACCATGTTGGACACAAATTTTAACAAGAAAGAACTGTCATCAGAGAACAAACGTCAGTCAGACAGCAGCAGACAGCAGACCATAGAGTATAGTACTTATACCGAGACCATGAAGCTATAGATAAAAATGGAGGCCACACTCCGAATACCTAATTGAAGCACAACCTATGTATCACTATCTCGCTCTTTGTGGGCAGACACTCTCTTTTTAAGTAAACAAAAAATAGAGTCAATGAAACTCAATGTAAAATCTTTATTTCTTGACATAGGTATCATTAAATGATAAGTGTAAATACTGGTAAAACGTTTTAGGAAGAAATTAGAGATGAAACGGATATCCGGTAACTATCCGGTAGGCCGGATATCCGGCCTATATTTACTATCCGGCCGGATACCGGATAATAACTCACTATCCGGCCGGATACCGGATAGTAACTCACTATCCGGCCGGATACCGGATATTAAAAATGTACGAAAATGTCCTATTAATAAAAATAAATACATTAATCTTTGAGGTAAATATCAATAAAATGGCTTACAATAATGACGGCTTTTATTTAAAATCCAAAAAGTTACAAAAAAGTCATAATATTATGGCCTTTCAAAACTAATTTCTTTTTCTGGGCTATTCAGTCTAATGACGAATAAATAAATAGTAAATATCTGTTAATGCCGAAATATTGCCAAATAAAATAGGCGATTTTTTTTTTCACTGATGACATGATGCAACTATAGTCCGATTTTTAATTCGACGGAATTCTGACAGCTGTAATTTTTTGACAATTCAGATGTAATAAGCCTTTTTTACTTTGAATTATTAATAAATAATATGAAATGAAATTTCATCAACTACAACTTACAAGAATGAACTGCTGTTTGTTTTGTGAATTCAATGTACACTAATTATTATGTACATTTTAGAGATTAAATAAAAAAAAACGTGTTTTTAACACAGTAAAACAACATATTAACATAAACGAAAATATGTATTGATCATCAATCATTATTATCGTCATCATAATCAACTTGGATTATAAAATTGGCGTCTTGTTAGATTGATTATTTTATGAAGCTAAGATTTTATTAACAAAAGGATTTTCATAAAAAAGGTTTGCAACCCATGGATTATTGGCCAGGGAGTCCAGTAATAGAAAAATAATTTCCCAATTTTTTTGTAACTTCTAAAATATGATAATAAAAATTCAAATGACCATTTTGAAATGATCAGTACATTTTTAAGCCTTAGTTTTTCAAGTGAAACCTTAAATTCAAGAAAGGATTATTTTTTAATTTGTGAAAATGCTTTCCATTCTTAGTGGGAATGTTTCAATGTTGGCAACACTTCTGAAATGTCAAAATTCCGTCGAATTAAAAATCAGAGTATAATTTAATTTTCGCTATTCAATCACACACTCACGATTGCAACCGAAATTGAATTGATCTGCCCCCTAGACAAGTGGAAAAATCTCCCGAATTGATCTGCCACCTAAACAAGTGGCAAAATCTGACATTCCATTGGGACGGATTCGATTTTCGAAAAGTGTGACTAGTCTAGTCTACTAATAGACCTACTGATCGCGTTCGAAGCACCTGTGTGGCGCTATAGTCGTCACGACATGCAACGAGACAATGGGGCCAACTATCCGGCCGCCGGATATCCGGCTATCCAGCTTAGCAGCTGGCCGGATATCCGGTATCCGGCCAAACAACTATCCGTTTCATCTCTAGAAGAAATTACTGTGAAAAATGTTTATAATGATCCAATGTCGTAAATCACGAAATAAACACTTACGCGTGGAATCTTAAGTGACTTCCGGGACACCACGTACTACCGCAACCACGCACTACAAAATTTTGCACCATTTCTTGTGAATTAACTGTAAAAAATCTCAAACGAAATTAACTGCATAATAAACAAAATAGTAAACAACCGCCATGATGGGCCGGATTGGGCCGATGTTGCCACATGGTACCGATTCTCCAGGAATTGGGATTGTAATTCCCTGATTCGCCAACACAATAAGCCTAAATGGCCGACACTTTTGTGATTTTTTATTTAACTAGGTAATCTTAGTTTCAAATATTAATTATTTATTTGTTTAACTTCTGATTTGGTTAGTGAATTGGCTATTTCGAAGAATTTACAAGATTTAAATAAGAAGATAGCAATACTACTGTTCACACTAAAAAGAGAGGTAGGGCCACAGAGAGCGAGATAGATATAAGTAGGTATTTGACTCAAGTTTTTGTTCCAAGTTTGCCCTCTATTTTTATCTTTAGCTTCATGATTCGTTCCTTCTGGAACAGGCTAAGGTCAAAGACCATGCTGCCTAGTCATCAGTAGTAAAAAAAATTGGTTGTTTACCTTAATGTCATTGCCTTAAAAAAAAAGAGTGATATGAAAGCATGAAGCTAAAGATAAAAATGGAATTTGTTCCAACTCTGCCCGAGTTGGAACAAAAACTTGAGTCAAATACCTACTTATATCTATCTCGCACTCTGCGGCCCTACCTCTCTTTTTAGTGTGAACTGTAGTATTGCTATCTTCTGATTTAAATCTCCTTGTAAATTCTTCGAAATAGCCAATTCACTAACCAAATCAGAAGTTAAACAAATAAATAATTAATATTTGAAACTAAGATTACCTAGTTAAATAAAAAATCACAAAATTGTCGGCCATTTAGGCTTAATGTGTTGGCGAATCAGGGAATTACAATCCCAATTCCTGGGTAATCGGTACCATGTGGCAACATCGGCCCAATCCGGCCCATCATGGCGGTTGTTTACTATTTTGTTTATTAAGCAGTTAATTTCGTTTGAGATTGTTTACAGGAAATAATCATTGTTTTATCACAAGAATTGATGCAAAATTTTGTAGTGCGTGGTTGCGTGGTCCTGGAAGTGACATATTAAGATTCCACGCGTAAGTGTTTATTTCGTGATTTCCGACATTGGATCATTGTAAACATTTTTCACATTTTTTACAGTAATTTCTTTCTAAAACGTTTTACCAGTAATTACACTTATCATTTTTAATGATACCTATGTCAAGAAATAAAGATTTTACATTGGTTTCATTGAATTTGAGCAATTTTATATATTTTGTTTATTTAGAAAGAGCGAGTCTGCCCACAGAGAGCGAGATAGTGATACTTAGTTTGTGCTTCAAGTAGGTATTCGGAGTGTGGCCTCCATTTTTATCTGTAGCTTCATGTATGAAAGTGAGGTTATGTTTGACTTTGATGATTATTTTTGGAATTCTGCGAGTGAACCAGGGTTTACTTACTGCGTGTTTCATGCAATGTATGTTTTAGAAATTTAAATATAAAATTTATTATGGATTCTTCTTCTGGCGAAGAAAGTTTTACTTGGGAAAAGGCATCCTATGGGAGCGATGCTAGTGATGAGTAAGTTACAGAATTTCCAGCTATTTGTTGCTATAGGTTAGAAACAGTGTGCGATTATATTAATTACTAAATTATCTTAGTAATCTAAGTAATTGACATTGAATACACGCATTATAATATCTTTGAGAAAAATTAAAGTTACTGTAAACTAAGTTTATTTTATATCTAAATTAATCTTATCATTATTATAATCAACTTAATGAAGTTTCTATTAATTTATGACTTTTATCAGTCCAATGTCACATACAATAACTAGCATGTTTTTTAATTTTATATTTTATAATAATCTTTGTTTGATCATTTTGAACGTCATCATCTATTCAACATGATTTCATGTAATAGGCATCATGTAGGTACATAATTGTACAAAGCTAGACCTTAGAATCCTCAATGTTGTCATTTACAGACCCATAATTATGTAAGATGTTGTGTTATGATTTATAAATAATATAATACATAATGCTCATGTTTATTACAGGCCTTCTAAACTGGAAGTACAAGACGTCAACAATACAAAAACTGAGCTTAAAGACAGAAAAAAAAGGAAACATAACATTGAAGAAAATAGTTTTCAAGAAGAAGAGTGTCCTAAAAGGAAAAAGATTAAAACAGAACCAGAAAGTGATTCCGAAGCCAAGAAAAAAATTAAGAAAAAAATGAAATTGTCTAATAGTAATGGATATTCTTATAATTTGAGTGATTCTGAACAACAAGAGAATGATGAATATCTTAATATGCAAGTGAAGCAAGAGCAAAAGTGTCTGGAATTAAGCAATAGTATAAAGTACGAAAAAAATAAAAAGCATAGAGATAGTGAATTCGAAAATGTAGATTCTAAAGATAGCAATGTGAATGATAACACATCTAAAAAGAAAAAAAATAAGAAGAAAAAAGAACTTACTAATAATGAGCTATCAATTGACAGTGCTACTGAAAATGATTTATGTAACCATGAAAACCAGGATGATAATATTGTACAAGAGAAATATGAGCTGAGTAAAAAGAGTCCCAAAAAGAAAAAAAGGAAGGAAAGACTGCCAAGTGAAAGTCATGATAGTCCTGAAAATGAAAACAAATTAAGTGCAGAAGAAACTAAAGTACAAAATAATAAATCAAGTGATTATAATTTTAATGAGTCCAATCAAAGTGATCACAGCAATGATTTAGATAGTAGCATGGGTGTAAATGACACAAAATATTCAAAAAAACAACATCAAAACAGTATAAACATTCATTCAACTGTTAGAATTACTCAGTCTCAAAATGATTCACCAAGAAAGATAACATCAACTAAACAGATTGATTCTTCCCATAACAATGTAGCAGCTATTGATGACAAAAGCAATTCAGCATATTATAATGATGAAGAAATTAGAAGTCACTCTAACAATGTTTTAGATGATAGCACTTATAAAAATCATTCTGAATCATTAAAAAAGCAATTTTTCAATACAACAAACAACCAATCTCCCATTAAAATTGCTAATAATTCACCAAAAACATTGTCATCCAAACAGAGAATGGACTCTCTTAACAATGTAAGTATTACTAAACCAGGAAGATTAATGGACCGAATTTGTTATGAAGATGACCCTGACACAGATACAGATGTAACTCAAAGTAACAATGATACCTCAACATACTTAAAAAAGTACTTGAAACAAAACAACAATTTGCAACCAATTGTAAAAGGGTTAAAAAAAGGTTCAGAAATTACTGATGATGATGAATTGTGGATATTAAAATGTCCTCATGACATTGATATACAAAAGTTAGATAACACTTGTTTTAATTTAGACAACAAAAGTAAAATAAAAATTCATGGTGAAACATATTGTGGAAATTTAGATGAAAATACAAGTACAATAGCTATTTTATCCTCTGATAATTGTAATTTTATTATTAAAAATGTTGTTACAAGTGGTACAATCAATTTACGTAAAAGATTACCAAAACCCCATGTGCAAGAAGATAATGTTATGGTAAATAATCAAACTGATTTTATTCCATTGCCTAAAACTAAATGTCGCCATCCATTGTTTGGCTCAGACTACAAGGACGCCATTCATGTTCGAATGCGCGAGCGCGTAGACTCTGCAGCCGAGGACCCTGAGGTGTCCACAATTTATGAAAGAAAGAAGAAGAAAAAACATCATAAAAGAGATTATTACACTACATTGAAACAAGAATTAGACAATTCATTCGAAACATCGCCAAAACTAGAAAATGAAGCAGATGTTACCATAAAGAAGGCTAAGAAACGCAAACATGTAACTGAAGATGAAAGTTATAAGAAAAAACCTAAAAGGATAAAACTTGAGCCAGATTCTGCAGAAGCTTGGGAGTCTGAAAAAGCAATTGAAGAAAACCTATTTAATTTTTAGATAAGTAGGCATGTCTATATTGTCTAAGTATGTTTCTGTAAATATTATTAAATGATTATTAGTGATCCAACTGATTCTGAGTAGGATGTGATCTAAAGTAATTTAATTAATGCATTGCTGCAGTTATAACTAGCATAATTTTTAATCCATGGAATGGCAATATTATTTTTTCAAAAATAGGTTGTTCAGTGTTCACTCCTACTATGAATATTTAGGATTACTACTAACTAAAATAATTTTAATATTTTGCTTTTTATTTACCTGCACCACAATAAATACTAGCGTCTGAATTATGGATGGTTAGGACTGTTAGGAGTGCGATATAGGGATAATGTACAAACTCCCGAATTAATTTTTATTGTAGTAGGGGCAATTCAGTGGTTTGTGGGGTATAACTACAGTGTGGGATAGGGCTAGCGATAATTTAAGGCCCCTTGTTTTCCTGTGTACCCTTGCGATGTTATTTGTCAAAAATGCCCCATATGTGGACCTACCAAGGGGGTACATAAGAAATACATTTTTTTTTTATGTAGTCACATAAAAAATGAAGGCCCACTTATGGGGGCATTTTTGTCGATAAAATTGACAAAATTGCGTGGTATATTAAACAAGGTAGTACATGCTAATATCTAGACTTACAGATTAAGATACTTAAATACTAGTAGAAATGACTCGCATTAATATAACTTATCACTAAGGCCCGGTCTGTGAGCACGTAGAATTTTGTCCAATGACCCCAAGCTACCCATCCTTATCGCTCGCGCGTAATTATTATGTTGCTATCGCGCTCGCACACTCGCTGCGGGTGCCAGTTGCAAGTTGCACAGTCGCCATAACCCAAACACACTGTAGGTTTAACTGGTTTACCGGCAATTTGTATAATTTAGGAATTCTATACAATCCTTAGTCAATGTGTAGAATGTGGTGTAGAATACATGGGGCGCGTAAGCAATGTATGAAATGTTATAATTATGTTTAATAAATACTTTACCCTAGGCAGTGTATGTAATTCCTAGGTATTGTATAGAATACCAGCTGGCCCACCGGCAATGTGTATTAAAGTACTTGTTTTTATGTTTTTCTCTTGCACGGTAAAAAAAAGTTTCACTTATCTGTGGTTGGTTTCACATACGTTTCAAAATAATGCCACAGCTAAAATAGATCCAAGTAAGATTAGTTATTGACGTAGGATGTTTTATTCAACTCGGCAAAATACTATTGCTACTGACATACTGATTTTTTAGCACCAAATTAAAAATTATTACATTTGTTATTCCTCTGGCCGGTGGGTAGCACTGACGTATATCTCATGGACGGCTCTTGGTGTAACTTAAAATTATACGTGCTCGGTACGGTACGGTACATACAATTACGCACACACACGCAATATTATAAATACACGATTTAAGCAAACAACATGGCCGCAATATAGGCAATCAGCTGACAGATTTTTGTGTTTGTGTGTGTAGTTGTCAGCTGATTGCCTATATTGCGGACATGTTGTTTTCTTAAATCTTGTATGTACTCGGCACAAATCAGGTAGTTAGTGACGTCACATGAAAATGCTGCCGGAATGAGTACCTACTGATCAAACATTATCTATCTCTTTTTTCATACGTCACTATGGGTAAGTTAGAAAGAGATAAACAGCTGTTTGTCATTAATGTGTTGATTTGATATATATTTGTATATGCAATTTTTGTATAGATCAATGTTTCCTCTCCACTATAAGTACCTCTATGGTGGGTAGGGACAATGGGAATAAAAAAAAATTCCACCAGTGCCTGACGGGGACAAAGGGAATGAACAAAAAAAATGACAAAATTGTTAAACCAGTCAAGTAAAGAGCGACCGACAGTTGACTCGCTAGAGCGCTCGATCGGTCACGCTCAGGCCCGCTCAGTGTTTGTTCGTTTGCAAAATGTAAAAACTTTTTAACAGCTAGTTGAAACGAAGCTGTAACGTAAACGGAGCGCAACTGTGCCTTTACGTAAAAGACAGAAAGCTACTGTCTTCAAATGTTTCACGAACATTTACTGCGTTTTAGTCATTTTAGTTTAAAAAATAAGGTCTTTCAATGAAAAGTGCTTAAATCCTTTGTTTGCTCGTGAACTTTACCGCGATAACGAATTACAATTCAGCTGGAATGAAAGTGTGGAGCGTGCGTGACTGGAGTGTGTAGACTGGAGATGAAACGCGAATGAATTATTTCAGACATTATTACAAAATAGACACCGTTTATTTTGGCCGGACACGCAATCATGATCATACTTACCATGCATTTATACTGTGGCTGAAGGTCATACGAAGGAGATATTTATCTGTCAGTGACAAAAATTCAAAACAGTGAGTGAACAAATGAGTAAAGATATTATTTTTTTATCAAATATTAAATACAGGCAGGTTTGAATTTGTGATAGTTTCATGTGTAATGCAGTGAAGTCAGTGGTTCTGTAACTATTAATATTCACTAACAATTTTTGGTAAGACATTCACAATGCTATTAATACTTCCTATCGCCATGGACCAATAAAAATACGCTTGTTTAAATCGGCTTCAAAATTGAAGGGATATTAATTTAATTATTAAAATAATACTGAATAAATATAATAATATACGTTTAACAATTTCCTGGGTCAGATTTAGAGCTCTGCCTAGTTTAACATCAAAATTGAAAATAACAGTAATAAAATTGTAATTACCTTTAATTTAGACTATTAAATCCCTTAATTTCGTACTTTTACTTAATACGAATTTATTCAATGAGTCTATTTTTCTCTTCATTAAATGTATAGAAATAGTCGGAAGATACATTTCTAATGTATTATAGGTACGATAGTACCTACTTGTCATATTCAAACAGTAGATGATAACCATGATTGAACTATGAATAGGTAAGTACTTGGTCATTGTCCTAGTCTAAAACTTAATTCTCACACTTAATAACCGTAACCGTGCCGTAACTTAGTTGTTGCAGCTGAACTTTAATTTCTACATATACAAGAATGCAAGTACTATAACAATACTTTTTATGCAATGTAAAAATAAAAATGGTTTATTTTCTTAATTTATAACTAGACTTTATTAAATTGATTGACATTATAATGGAGTGGTGTGCTGTTTAATCAGAATAATATTATCTTTGAATGATGAGACACTAGACACAACCGGTGGACCATATGGCATCCCAAAGTGTTAATAAATGTAGAAACATTGTTTTGACAGATCTTTTCAAGAAGTTAACTATAGATGACCCACGCTGAACTGTCCCACCAAACTCAATGACAGGGGGGCGCTACCATCGTTCAACTGTATGGTTTCCAACATGGCAAAAATCGGAACCAGCGATCCGGTATAGACGGTGGCGCCCCGCTGTCAATGTCATGCACAGCACAGTTCAGTATTTTGGAACTATATAAAAAAAACCTCACATCAGACAATACATCACAAAATCGCTCTTGTCACAACTACACTAGATGCCATGCAACATTGTCAGTTTGATGCGCAATGAGCTTAATAATGTACTTAATGGAGATTATAAAATTAATATAAATGTTACCCACTACAGTATCAAATAAATCTAAGCAGTCTTAGTTTTTAATCTTTGGTATTTAACACTATGAAACCTCTAAGTGTTGATAGTTGCGGGCAATGTTGGTATTTGTTGTGTCTGTTTCAAAGTTTTTATTTGCACAGTAACATTCTCACACACTTTACAAGTATGGAAACTACCCGGTGAAACTGCAGTGTTTCAATGTGAGAGAGTATTTCATACCTATAGTGTTACGGAATAATACATTAATTTATTATTTAAAGAAGAAGAGAATATTGTCTGATAAGTGTCACAACAACCAATCTTTTGTTTACTGTTATTTATTTCCAATTAAAGATGTTATTATGCTGTTTATCTAGATTGACTTCTAGACATGCAGAGGTAAAATTTTATTGATCATTTAAAATAGNTCAGGCTATATATTAATTTATTTTGATAACTTGTAATAAGGTTTAGTTTGGCAAATAAAATGAATTGAATATTTTCAACAACTTTCGCCAGCTAGTTTTAGAGCTTCTCATAAATATTTTTTTTTATTTAGTACCTTCATGAAAGAAATAATTAGGTATGGCTAAAACTGTTGGTAGGTATTAAAATTAGCCCAAGGTGTAAAAAAGTAAGTGGAATGATGTTTGTAGGTTTTGTTCTTTACTTCTAATAAGTAGGTTCACCCGAGATGTACTAACGAAAAGTGCTCAAGTAGCGTGATGCGCCAGCTACGCGTCATGGCTTGTGAACATAGATAAAAGATGTGTAACTTTACTCCTCTTTTAGACCAACAAGTTTTAAAGGGCTGTGTTGTATAATTAAATGTATTAATTATTAACAAATAAATAAAACTTGTTCTTAAAACCAATAATCTAAAAATGTATAACATACCTACTAGCTTTTGCCCGCGGCTTCACCCGCGTGAACTTTAGTTTGTCACAGATCATCATAAATTATAGCCTATAATGTTATTCTGCGTTATAAATAATAATACTGTAGTTTCATCAAAATCCGTTTAGTAGTTTTTGCGTGAAAGAGTAACAAACATCCATCCAGACATCTATACCTAGACATCCAAACTTTCGCATTTATTACATTTAGAAAGAAAGAAAAGTAATGTCCTGAATCTGTTATTCCCAGTTGCCCCCGTCCAGCAAGTAGCCTCAAATTACAATGTACACCAGTCTTAGATCATTAATATATGGCTCCAGTAGAGTAATTGAATTGACGTGCTCTGGGAGAGCGTACCGTTTACCGTTTAAAAAGTTCGTCACACGGCGTCACATGATGCCTATAAATTCATAACTACTTGGTATTTTTGAATGAAATAAAAACAAATGTATTTATTTATTTATTTTTACTCGTAGGTATATATTATTATGTAAAAGCTTAACTGTAACAAAGGTTTCAAGTGATTTTGCACACCTAGTACTAACATTCTCCATTGTCTTTTAGTCTTAGCCATTTATTTTTATTGGGAAAAATATTTCTCTCAAAACTCTTTCTTCTAGACTACTTACCCACCTATTCACGTTGTTTTTTTACTTGGTCTCTCCTAACGACAGGCAGGAGGAATAATTGAACACGACGAAGATCAATTGGCTAACTAAAGAAATAATTCTGTGAGGTGGCAGGCAGCCCTACAAGATGTTAGGAGAGCGTCACGGACTTTTGTCCTGACCGTTCCGGTGATTCGCTGGG